GAAAAAAAGCCAAGTTCACTACCAATACAAGAAAATAAAGTCAAAATAATGAGAGTGATTTTGACCTATCAAATTAGCTATTATTTCATAATAATAATAATAAAAAAACCACTCTGGTACCATTCAAATAGTTAAGTCCAGGTTTCTTGTCACAACTGGAGGCTTTGTTTATCAAGGCTAAACATTCCCTGTTCCTCTAAGTGAATGGAATGGTTATCTATTCCCTGACCATGCAGGTGCCATCTCCAGATATCCTCTGGTTTATCAATGTTTCTCTTAAGTAGCCTGGAACAGAGCACAGTACTCAATACTCTGCATACAATCTGGCTATTTCTATTAAGACATTTGGTTAAGTTACTTCTCATTTTTTACATACACCAAGGTTATCCAGGATAATTGTGAATAAATAAAATAAAGGATTCAATTACCACACATTTTGGCTTCTAAAAACTGCAAAGCCAAAAAACGAACAAAAAACTGCAAAGCCATGTTAATTACATTTGCTAAATAAAGTAGGCTGAAAAAATAACAGTGTGTGACTTTGAATTGATATCCTTAATATTGGCTTAAAAATGTACAACTTTTTTTAGTCAATCAAAAGGCAAAAGGAGAAGGACAAGTTTATATGTAGTGGTATTATATGACATAATGTCTAAATTTTATATTTATAACTATTTTAATAAACTTATTTTATGTGTGGGTTTTTTTCATTTTTTAAATTTTGTGTTTGGTGAAAATATACACAGCAAAAAACATAGCCACTCAACAATTTCTACATGTATAATTTAGAGATGTTGGTCACGTTCCTCACATTGTGTTACCAATATCACCATCTCTTCCCAAATTATTTCACCACCATTAGCTTAGACTCACTGCCCCCTAAACTTCTTACCTATGCATTAAAATTACTGCTGTCCATTTGACCTCATATAGGTTATTCTTTAAAAGAGCACAAAGCTAAAGATGAGCATTCCTTACTCATTGAACTAAACTGTTATTTGGTTTAAAGATGACTTCAGAGGTAATTTCAGTTCCAGGTTTAAAGACAATCTTAGGACAATAGCTCATGGGAGGGAGGTTCTTCCAGTCTCAGTGGGTTCAGGAAGTCTGCATTTATAAGAATTTGAAATTTTATTGCACATTTTTCCCCTTTTTGATCAGGATCCATCTACGGAATCCTTAAGGAGCTCTTTGTGGTACGGTGCCTAAGGCATTTGACTGCTAACCAGAAAGTTGTAATCCTTGATTAAAACATTCAGTAATGGTAGCCAGACACCACCCAGTTTTGGTCTCATGGCAAAAGAGGCAGTAGCTTATGGAGGCAATCAGACCTGCGGTCCAATTCCTCCTCCAATTCCTGGGTCTCCTCCTTCCTCTGTTTTTCCAGGCAAACAGACCAATCATTGTATCCTGGATGACTGCTCAAAAGCTTTTCATTAAACTCTTATTTTTAAATCATGTAACAAGAATTTATTCACCTCTTTTTCTTTATTCCTTCATTCTTTCTTCTACATTTCATTCCATAGAAGATTTGAGGGAACTAAAGGTGATTTGAAATATATATTTATTTTGTTGTTGTTATTAGGTGCTGTCAAGACAGTTCCAACTCATAGCAACCCTATGTACAACAGAATAAAACACTAACCAGTCATGCCCTCCTCTCACAATAATTGCTATACTTTAACCCATCATTGCAGCTACTGTGTCAATCTCTCTCCTTGAGAGTCTTCCCCTTTTTTGCTGACCTGCTACTTTACCAAGCATGATAGTCTTCTCCAAGGACTGGTCCCTACTGACAACATGACCATAGCATGAGAGACAAAGTCTGGCCTTTCTCAGTTCTAAGGAACATTCCAGCTGTACTTCCTCCAAGACAGATTTGTTTGTTCTTCTGGCAGTCCATGATGTATTCACTACTCTTTGCCAAAATCACAACTCAAAAGTATCAACTCTTCTTCAGTCTTCCTTATTCATTGTCCAGCTTTCACATGCATTTGAGGCTATTGAAATACCATGGCTTGAGTCAGGCACACCTTAATCTTCAAAGTGACATCTTTGTTCTCAAACACTTTAGTGAAGTCTTTTGCAGCAGATTTGCCCAATGCAATACATCATTTGATTTCTTGACTACTGCTTCCATGGGTGTTGATTGTGGATCCAAGTAAAATGAAATCCTTGAGAATTCCAATCTTTTCTCCATTTATCATGATGTTCCTTGTGGTCCAGTTGTGAGGATTTTTGTTTTCTTTATGTTAAGGTGCAATCCATACTATAGGGTATAGTCTTTAATCTTCATCAGTAAGTGCTTCAAGTCTTCTTCACTTTTAGCAAGCAAAGTTGTGTCCTCTGCCTATCTCAGGTTGTTAATGAGTCTTCCTCCAATCCTGATGCTGTGTTTTCTTCGTATAGTCCAGCTTCTCAGATTATTTGCTCAGCAAACCAGTTGAATAAGTATGGTGAAAGGAAACGACCCTGATGTACACCCTTCATGATATTAAACCATGCAGTATCCCTTTTTCTGCTCAAATGATGGCCTCTTGGTCTGTGTATAGGTTCTTCATGAGAACAATTAAGTGTTCTGAAATTTCCATTCTTCACAATATTATCCATAATTTGTTATGATCCACACGGTCAAATGCCTTTACATAGTTAATAAAACATAGGTAAACATCTTTCTGGTATTCTTTGCTTTCAGCCAAGATGTATCTGACTTCAGCAATGATACCTCTTGTTCCACACCCTCTTCTAAATCTGGCTTGGATTTCTGGCAATTCCCTATCCATATACTACTACAACCATTTTTTAATTGCCTTCAGCAAATCTTAGTTGCATGTGATATTAATGATAATGTTTGATAATTTCCACATTCTGTTGGATCATCTTTCTATGGAATGGGCAAAACAAATATGGATCTCTTCCAGTCCAGGTAGTTGTCTTGCAAAGTTCTTGGCATAAACAAGTGAGTGCCTCCAGCATTGAAACATTTCAATGGGTATTCTGTCAATTTCCAGAGCCTTGTTTTTCATCAATTCCTTCAGTGCAGCTTGGACTTCTTCCTTCGATACCATCAGTTCAAAATCATATGCTACCTCCTGAAATGGTTGAATGTTGACCAATTCTTTTTAGTACAGTGACCCTTTATATTCCTTCATCTTCTTTTGATGTTTCCTGCATCATTCAATAATTTGCTCATAGAATCCTTCAGTATTGCAATTCAAGACTTATATTTTTTTTTCTTCAGTTCATTCAGCTTGTGAAATGTCAAGCATGTTCTTCACTTTTGACTTTCCAAATCCAGGTCTTTGCACATTTCATTATAATTCTTCACTTTGTCCTCTACAGCTACACTTTGAAATCTTCTGTTCAGCTCTTTTGCTTCATCATTTCTTCCATTCACTTTAGCTACTCTCCTTTCAAGAACAAATTTCAAAGTCTCTTCTAACATCCACTTTGTTCTTTTCATACTTTCCTATCTTTTTAATGACCTTTTGGTTTTTTCATGTATGATCTCCTTGATGTCTTACCACAACTTGTCTGGTGTTCAGTGCATCAAATCTATTCTTCAGATAGTCTTTAAATTCAGGTGGGATATAGTCAAGGTCATATTATGGCTCTCGTGGACTTGTTTTAATTTTCTTCAGCTTCAACTTAAACTTGCATATAAGCAATTGCTGGTCTGCCCCACTGTTGGCCCCTGGCCTTGTTCTGACTGAGATTTTGAGCTTCTCCATCATCTCTTCCCATAGATGTAGTCAATTTGATTCCTGTGCATTCCATCTAGTGAGTTCCATGTGTATAGTCACCATTTATGGTATTGGAAAAGGTATCTGCAATGAATAAACTGTCTTGCAAAATTCTATCATGCAATTTCTGGCATCATTTCTATCACGAAGGTAATATTTTCCAAATACTGATGATTCTTTGTTTCCAGCTTTTGCATTCTAATCACCAGTAATTATCAATGCATCTTGATTGCATGTTGGTCTGTTTCAGACTACAGAAGCTGGTAAAAATCTTAAATTTCTTCATCTTTGAAGAAATCTTCATCTTTCTTCACTAAAGTGGTTGGTGCATCAATTTGATCATGTTAAGATCATATTAAGAGCATCATATTAACTTCTCTGCCTTGTAGGG